GAAGATAAATCTTGAGATCGAAAACATTTCTAGATTGTAATGATTCAGCATCGCTGCACCATCGTACACAATCAAAATTAATTAGAAATGAAACGTAAGTTCGTTAAAGAATAAAATGAACAAGGAATCGACCCACGTTCCTTTGCAATTATAGCATTAATTAATTCAGTGTAACAAGAAAAATAAAGGATGTTCAGTAACAATTTCCGATTCGAAAAATAAATCCAGGAAATCTTTCCTTCAATGTCTAATTAAAATATAACTCCGCTCGATCTTCCGAACAAATTCTATCCGCAATAAATGAGAAATCCTATGAAATAATCGCGTATGATGGACATCACGGCGATAAAAACAAGCAGAAAGCCTGGCTGTCGCACTAATGCTCGCTCATTTCAATCATCGTCACGTCGATGAACGAGCACGAAAATGGCTAATTAGCGGGCGGTGGCTGGAGGCCGGCAAAAAAACGAAACGACCGGGGGGAAGAATTTTAAAATTACGTTCGCCCCGGACGTTTCACGCAACGTCAGCCGATAAAGCTAAAAGGAAATTCCTTTGCGACCAACTCTTCTCGCTGCTCGTATTGACTCGGACCGGGGGCTCGAAAAGGATCAGGAATTTTAATATCTCGTTTTAATGGTATTTTTCTTGCTCGATGTATCTCGCCTAGCAGACGACGATTTTCACCGCAAGCCACGAGAACGAATAAACCGACCACGGATTTGCAAAATACCTGCCAAGGATATCGATCGAAGAGCGTCGCGAATTTCGCTTGGCGACGCTTAAACGTTATCGCCGCCATTTGTGATACGTCAAACGGCTTCCCACAGAAGAAATTGAATTATCGCCGAGAAAACGATCGATTCAATGTATACAATATGCCGGGGACACCTATTTTTTTCATGGAAATTTTATATTATAGCTTAATTACATAATTTTTAGTGAGGATGGTTTCTGAGAATTCTTTTTATGGAAATTTTATTTTGAAGTTTGGATGAATGGAGAGCTTCAATTTGTCTCAAGGAGAATTTGTTGCAATACTACTGTTACTATATTACATATAGTATGTCATATGATATGTGATATGGTATATCATATGATATGTTATATGTCATATGTTATGTCATATGGTATATCATATGATATGTCATATGTCATATGTTATATGTCATACGGTATATCGTATGATATGTTATATGTCATATGTTATGTCATATGGTATATCATATGATATGTCATATGTCATATGTTATGTGTCATATGGTATATCATATGATATGTCATATGTCATATGTTATGTGTCATATGGTATATCATATGATATGTCATATGTCATATGTTATGTGTCATATGGTATATCATATGATATGTCATATGTCATATGTTATGTGTCATATGGTATATCATATGATATGTCATATGTCATATGTTATGTGTCATATGGTATATCATATGATATGTCATATGTCATATGTTATGTGTCATATGGTATATCATATGATATGTCATATGTCATATGTTATGTGTCATATGTTATAGTATGCCATACATCACATAATAATAAATTGAACGAATATCTTTCATTTCCAATTAAAAGTATAATTGGCATTATATAAGACACTCTATCTTTTTTATGTGGAATATCTCAAGAACAGTATAAAAAAAAAAATTATACATTTCTATTTTGAAAAAAGAATAATGCAACTGCACCCCACTTATGCACCCTACTTTTGATGTATGACAAATATTATTTCTGGTAAAGCTTGGTGCTACAAGTACTCTTTAAACTAACCCTCTGACAATCTGTATCACTAATAAGAGTTATGACCTCGTCCCTGTTTAGCACCGAAACGTTCAACAGTAAAACATTAAACGTTCTACAATATTGCATTTTGATTTCAGTAAAGTTAATGTTACGCTCAGTACAAGATGTTTATTCCCAGTGTATAGAGAACGATCCCTTTCGGTATTCGCGTGATCCCGGATACGGTGAGTGGTGAACCGGATGATCGTGGGGTAACACGTTGATCTCGGTTCGAGGGTGCGAGTCGGGTGGTTTAAGTGCGTGTTTAGCGGTGTCGATCCCTCGACAGCCTTTCCACGGGACACTAAAGGCCACTAGGGGTCGCTATACGACTCGTAAGGGTTGCCGGCTAAGGGTAGCTCGTACACCGCGATATAGAATCACTCCACGTCTTGATCCTTGACAAACTGCCGTCTTTACGGCCCTATTTAGTTATCCCTTCGCTTATCGACCGGATTAAACGTTTAGGATCCTCCTTTCAAATTTTTACTCTGATCGTTCATCTTTCCACCTCCGATGATCTTTTCCAATGAAATATTCTCGCAAGTATTCTTGTGATTAAGAATTCGCGATTTCTTATTCCCTTAACCTTTCATTTGGACCTAAAATTCTCAATGGAGAATGAAATGAATGAATGTAACTATCACTGTATTTATTCGTCTAAGCTTTCAGTTGGACCTAAAATTCTCAATGAAGAATGAAACGAATTAATGTAACTATTATTATGTATCTATTTTAAGTATTATTTAACGAAAAGAATGAGTAATTTCCCGGTCCCCATTTTCGGATATTTCGCTGCATAAGCAAACGTGTCTAAATTACACGTTTGAGATTCGGGAAACAGGAATAACTGATCAAAAGCGAAATAGGAGAAGAAACAGGATACATTCAGGGAGAGTGCATGTTAAGGAACTCGTAAGCACACTCGAAGGACTGCAGTGGCCAGGAAAAGGCACAGAAGAGGAAAGTTCGTTGGCCATCTGAAATTTTACATCCGCAGCAAGCAGGAAGATTGAATTGGCATCTGCTGGACTATCGCCAACTCGTACGTCGCGTAGGGGTCGTCGCGTCGTCGTCTTCTCGTCGTTTCTCGAATCCTAAATTTCGAATCCAGCCGTCTCGACAAGGATCTTTCGATGCGTTTACGACACGGTGGTTTTCGTCCTTCCTTCACCCCTGAGCAAGTGGCCCGTGAATCTCCCGGAAACTTTAGGCATGAACATTAATAATCCAATAACTTCTCGTCGCATGTAAAATTGTACTGTTTCCCATTCTATACATATATGATAGAAAATATACGTATAATATCTAACTTGTTTTTTTTATTTTTGAGAATGGATTGGTGACTTTCTTTTGAATTGTTCGATTTTATGATAGATTTAAAAATTTCATTTTACAGTATGCGAAGATATAATTTTTGAAAGAGATTGTTGGGAAAGTTTGTGTTGAAATGAAAAACAAACCTCGAATATAAAAGATATGAAATTATCAAGAAATATTTATTATAATTTATAATTATTTTCACTCATTTTCTTTCGCTGTTTAAAGCTGTGTCGAGGACAAAAATAAAATTTAATTTGAAGAGAATTATTGAGAAAAATCTATTTTTATTGGAACGGAAAGCAATCGTCATCGAATGCGACAGAAATCGAGAAACGAAATTATTAAATAATATTTATTATAACGCATGCATTGTTTTCAATTTTCCTCTTTGGTAATTGAATAATGCGCTTTGGTCAAGGATAAGAAATAACAATTAATTTTTAATTTTTATTTTAATATTTTAATACACAAAAATTTAATTAAAAAAGATTATTGGGGAGAGTTCATTTTTATTGAAGTGGAAAGCAATCATCATAAAATCCGACAAAAATTCATTGGGACGTAAAATGATTAAAAAATGTGTATCATAACTTATCTACTATTGTTTCGTCTTTTCGTTCGTCGGAAAATGCATTTCAATTATAGATTTTTGATTTTGGAGATAGGGTTTGTTAATTCGTAAAAAACATATATGATATAATATGTAATATGTGTATATAATATAATAATAGTAAATGATATAAATAATATAATAATAGTAAATGATATAAATAATATAATAATATTAAATAATATAAATAACATAATAATGTATAATATAGTACTGTGATATACAGTTTGTTCAAAAAATCTGAAACTCTGTTTAATTTCACAAAAATTATTTGTAGACAAAAGTGACTTGAGACATTCTTGTAAGAAATCAAATTAAATTTCTAAAAATAATTCTGACGACAATTTTTACTCCAAATCAACCCTCGTGAAACTGGAGGGGGGTTTTTGAACTTTTTAACAGCCTGTATACTATAATATTATAGTTATTGTACTGTTATAATATTATACATATTATGGTATTATGCAGCAGTGTTATAATACAATATTATGGTATTGTATTATAATGTAACAATATTATAATATTGTTATTAGTATTGTTATTGTGGGGATGTATATTATCAAATGTATATTATGATGTATATTATCAACAACAAATGTATAGTTCGAAGGAAGAATTTCTTTATTGGTGAGGCAGCAGGGTGCAAGAATTAATAAGCATTCCGACCTCGTACGCTCGGCCGAACAGCAATTAATTTATTCCCCGCAGGATACGAGTGTCCCGAATGAGAAAATTATTCAAGAAGCCCGTGGGATACGCGTCTCTCTCCTCGTTCGCGAGACTTTCCCTCCGTTCCAGGGAACGCTTCGGATTTAACGAGCACCTTCATTGATGAATCGCACTCATCAAAGCGTCGCACGATTTCAGCTTGATCTAACGGCGCCAACGTAATCACGACCAAGCTAACGGAGACGCTTCAAGACGCCTGCCGCCACTTACTTAACACGCGTCTCGACGCTCGTCCAACGGGCTAACGCGTACATATGTACATCTCCAAACACGCATTATTCCGCTCGAAATCTGTTCCTGCCATGTACCACGATATTCAGATCTCCTATTTCTTGCATCGAATAACTTCTGCGATTTACGCGGATTTTGGATTTGGAACTTCGGGGAAATTTGAGGAGATTGTACGCCCTTTCATCGTTTGTACTACTTGATAGAGTTGAAAATTATTCGAGTATTATTAAGTTCAGGTGAAAATTATTGTGATTCCTTTTATTGATTTATTTCTTTAGGAGGTAAACTGTTGACGAAGCTTACCTTGTATTGTCCCAAATCCTTGACAGTACATGCAAATTTTACGTCACGTCCCGCTGAAACTGTGATATTTTTTATTTCCTCGACGAACTCGGGATCCGGGACAGTGGTTACTGAAATCAGAAATAATAGAATAAATTAAAATTCTACGAAATTTTACTTTACTGTAGATTCAGTTTTTAACATTAAATTCGTGGACATTAGTTTATGTCATTCAAAAAATTCCTAATTTTTTTAAATAGACATTCTTGACAATTTTAACTACTTTATTAAAATATTGTATACTGAATACTAAAATATTAACATGTATATAATATATGAGTATTAACGTATATGACATATGAATACTAACATGTATAACATGAATATTAACATATATGACATATGAATGTTAACATGTACAACATATGAATATTAACATATATAACATATGAATGTTAACATGTACAACATACGAATATTAACATATAAAACATATGAATATTGACATATGTAACATATGAATGTTAACATGTATAACATATGAATATTGACATATGTAGCATATAAATGTTTACGTGTATAACATATGAATAATATCATGTACAACATATGAATATTAATATATATAACATGTGGACATTGACATATGTAACATATGAATGTTAACATGTATAACATATGAATATCCTTAACATCTTAATCTGTCACTATATACATATAAGGTGTTCAAGTTTCAACAATAATCCATTCTCAAACACACCTTCTAAATTACGACACCGTGAAAATGTACCTCGCTCAAAAAGATTCGCATCAGATACCTCGTCGAAGAGATCGATCGAGAAACAGTGTCTACTCGAATGCGTGGATGCGGTTTGAGTTATAGGTACTCGCCGATCGGACTGACAGTCTAGTTATTGAATGCAAAATGCAATTTTTCAAGTCTGCCTTGCGGTACATCTCGTCGCAACTAGTTCTTGAAAAGTAACAGACTGTTCGTTCCTGATCGAATCCGCGGCAGGATTTCGAGGAACGGGACATCAGCCATCCATCCTGAAATTCGCGATCGCGTTCTCTCCCTTCAATAGCATTATTTCATGGACTACGTTCTACCGCGATACTGACGATCGAAACGAATTTTCTCCTGTCTAGCGCCATGGTAATGCTTTCTGAGAACTTTTCTGGATAAGAGAGTGCTACCCGAGTTCCTTTCTAGGGACATTTCGAATAAAACTGTCAGACCTGCACGTGAAACGACCAATTTGTTTACGTACGTTTCGGTTACTGCACTTTCTTTGAAACGGTATTTTTAGTCGTGTGTCTGATCAAGGTTATCAATTACAGTTTTTAAAAATTGATAGGTGCTTTTACAATTTTCTGAAAGGTGTTGTTCATGTGAATGTCATTTTTTAATTAAATGAAAGGTTAAGTCATTGTTTGTTATTCGAGAAATTTGTCCATGAATGACATCTTTACTGTTCAGACATATGTGTATATATACATACGTGTATATGTGTTTGTGCATATGCATATGTGTATGTATATATGCATATGCACTTGTGTATGAATAAGTGTATGTACATGTGTGTGACAATATTTATGTGCACGCGTGTATGCACATGTGTATGTGAATATGTGTATATGCACATGTATTTAGGCATATGTGAACATGCATATATGTACATGAAAATACATATGTACATAAATATATTTATATTCGTACGTGTGTATGCATACATGAACATACATATGTGTATGTACATATGTGCACATATACATGTGTATATCTATATACGTATATTTTAGTGTACATATTAAAACAAAATCTTTCAACTTACTCTACAAGGGGTTGATATATTATCATATCCAAATAATGAACGAATAATTACCGAACAATGCTTGAAATCGAATACCTAAATATCCAATAATAATTAAAAAAAAAAAATTGTAGATATGTGAATTAATTCGTCGATATATATAATATACGTTCAGTTCTTCATTGAAATTCCGCGAGGTGCAAAATGCACTGCGAATCCATTAACGTTTGAATGCAACCGTACCGTCATTATCATCGGTATTCATTATCGGTCAAAAAGAATATCACGCGAACGCAACGCGTAGTGCGGAGCGTTGAAATTGTCGAAATGCCTTGAAAGGAATTCATGGTAACGAGAACAAACTAATGGAAACGCGTCGACATGGAAATCCACGTGAAATTTCAATGCTGCGCCGAAAACCATAGCCCCGCACGCGCTTTCGACTGCGCCGCAACAGAGAAGCTATAAATCAAATATGCACCATGCACAATTATAACCGTTTTATCAGGACGAAGTTTTTGACGGAAAAGGTTATTTGGAATCTTTACTTGAAACATTAATTTTTTCTTTAAATATTTCTCAAATAATTCTGTACCTAAATACAGTAATTTTTTATATGTATTGTGATTTAAGGGATGAACCTACAATTTTAAACTAATAATTTTTCTACTTTATTTCCAAGTAATGTTTATGAAGTTCCGACTTAAAAATGAAATCCAAACAAATGGATTTCCAGGAATCCTGCCTCGCAATTATCCACATGCTAAAAAAGAAATAAACACTAAAAACGCAGCGATTTGAAAAAAAACATAAAAGTCAGAAATAAGGTAAAAAGGTTGGTAAACGAGAAGTTGGTGCATCGAATAGTAAATCGATCTACGGAGTCGATTCGCGAGATACGGTTACCTCAAAGTGCGCCGCTGAAACGTTATTACGGATTACACAGGGGATGAAAAGGGGTGAGGGGTTCGAAGCAGCAAAAACAGAGAAAGATCGTTAGCTCTGAAGAGAGCGGACAGGTAGAGTACTACTTTAGAGTTCGAATGCGATTCCGCTAACGACCCGTACCGTTGCACCTGTATCCCTGCACCCTCTGCACACACCTTGGATTTCAATTCAACCCCGAAGATTCTCCGCTCTAGCTGTTCGAGGACGCAGACCGACCAATCTTTACGACCCTAAAATAAGTCGCTGAGTCTTCTCTTTTCGGATAGGCAAAGTATCTTTTACAATTTTAAATGATTTACATTTATTTTTTGGGGGGGTTTATTTTTGTGATTGAATAGGGGTTTCAAGATGGTGAGATGTTTGTGGGTGGTCAATTTTCAATTGAGAAATTTTTATTTTTGGATGTATGTGGTTTGATGATTTTTGGGTTAGGAAGATTGCAGATTTGGGAATTTGGGAAGATGGGGATTTGGAGGTTTGGGAATTTGAGGGGTTGGGGGTTTGGAGATTTGGGAATTTGAGAGATTGGGGATTTGGAGATTTGGGAATTTGAGAGATTAGCGATTTGGAGATTTGGGAATTTGAGAGATTGTAAATTTGAGAGATTGGGGATTTGAAAGATTGGGGATTTGAGAGATTGGGAATTTAAGAAATTGGGGATTTGGAGATTTCGGAATTTGAAAGATTGGGAATTTCGAGATTTGGGAATTTGAGAAGTTGGGGATTTGGAGATTTGGGAATTTGAGAGATTGGGGATTTGGAGATTTGGGAATTTGAGTGATTGGTGATTTGGAGATTTGGGAATTTGAGAGATTGGGGATTTGGAGACTTGGGAATTTGAGAAATTGGGGATTTGAAGATTTGACAGTCTCGAGATTTGGGAACTTGAGAAGTTAGGGATTTAGAGATTTGGGAACTTGAGAAGTTGCGAATTTGAAGATTTGACAGTTTGCAGATTTGGGAACTTGAGAAGTTGGGGATTTGGAGATTTGGGAACCTGCAAAATTGGGGATTTGAAGATTCGGGCATTTGAGATTTGGAGATTTGAAAATTTGAAGTCCCCAAAAACACTCCAAACCCCAAACATCAAAGTCCACCAGACCTCAATAAATCTCCCTAATTCCAAAACAGAAGAACATCACCAAAAGCACAAAATCCCGAAAGTTCTTAGTGAATCAGTGAAATCAGAATTCGATAGACGAGCCAAGCAAAGAAAGAGATACTCTGGCAGAGAGTAGACCGTTTGTCGGCGAGTTGAAAATGTGGTCTGACACGAAGTTAGACGCACACATGGGTGTAAGTCTGCACAAGCTGGTGGTTCCTTTGGGCTGGCAGATAGCAAAGTCGATGGCAGTGGCCCAAAGAGAATTTCCTAGTAGCGTTAGGTCCTGCTCCCTTGGCAAAAGCAGGAGTCACCTTTACGAGTCACCTTTCGCCGTATCCTCGTGTTTCTCCATTTTCTTTCCGTTCCATTTATTTACCCGTATATATACGCTCATGTAAATCTAGGCTATGGCGAGAAGCTGCTTGTTGGAACGTGCCCGCGTGCCTTCCTCGCATTTATTTTTATGGACGCCGTTGTAAACAAGCGTCGCCTGCACTTTGCGTGGACGGTATAAAGCTGTTTTAAAGCGTTGGATTGTTGCGAGACCCGCGGAAAGCTTTACGATTATTATTTCCTCTTTTTTCTCCCTTTCTCTTGTTTCTTTTCTTTCTCGTTTCCGTTTTTTCTTTAATTCAACTCGGTGAACCGTACTTGGGGGAGCTGCGGGATTTAGTCGCGTTATTTCTGATGCTCTTTTGAGGGAATATGTTTATGGAGGATGCGGCTGTAATTAAATGTTACATCGATTAATTGCGAGGGTTGTGGTTGCGAACAGATTATACGTAGTCTTTTATGGAACTAAAAAGATTGGCAATTTTGAAGTTTGAAAATTATGGGGGGGAATATACCATCACGTAATGTTCAACGTAGAACAATTTCTGTATTTCATGATTTGTTAACATTTGGAAAGTTTTATTTTTTATGTCTTTTTAATTTTTATATCTTTTATGAACATTTGGAAACTTGATTATTAAGCAAGCCCTTGAATTTTAAACATTTTCTAAATCAATATATTGAATATTGGGAAATTTGAGTATTTGGGATGTGGGTAATTTACGAACTTAAAAGTTCAGGAATTTAAAATGTGAAATTTTTGTAAATTTATAACAATGAGACCAACATTGAAAAGTCTGGATCAACAGAAAAACTTACTGTATTTAAATCAGATTAAATAATTCTAAAATCAAGCTGATATATTAGTAAAATAAATAAGATAACTGAATACAGCATGAAAAATGTTTAGTACAAATTCAAGTTCATTCGT